TTTTAACTGCATTCATGTTTTTTAGTATGTTGTAAGCCGCCCAGAGTCCCCCATTGTGGGGAGATGGGCCGGGACAAATTAAATAAATAAATAAAAATAGAAGATGGAGGATGGGGTATATGTATCCGATTAAAATACATTCAAGAATTCTTGGTCACACTCTGCCTTTCCAAAGACACATCCCAAAGAACAACATCATGGAAATTTTCTGAAATATCCTTAATAAGTTTGAAGATACAGAAGAGTCATCCATTCAAACCCTGCCAACAATGATGTAGCTTTCTACCTGTTGAGGGGACAGAAGATCCAAACACATGACAGGAGAAGTAACAAAAGGGAATTTATTGAGACATAAAAGGGAATAGCCAACTCCTTCAACCATTTTGATCCTCAGACTGTTTCCCGTTAGGAAACAAACTGGAGTCTGTGATGTTGCTCAACAGAGGGCAGTCTTCAGCAAAAAGAGAAGTCCAGGATAGGTCTACAAGAGAAAATGAAGGTACAATTGCTTTTAAGGTGCGACTATCTTGTTTGCTGTAGCAACACTACTTGCATGTTAGTTACAAATTCAACCACATATTCATCTTCCTTGTTCATGATTGGGCAATGTGTTCATTCCTCTTTGCTCTAGTCTGCCTATAGAAAACTTGGGAGCTTCCCACTCACAACCATAAACCTCAAATTCCTCTCTCCATATGAAAGCAGTGACTGATACCATCAACTCAATGTGCAGAACTCTATTTTGGAAATGCCACACAAGGCATGAACTCACAGTATGTTCCATGTAAGACCAGATGCGTTATTTGGAGGATAAACAACAGAGAAAAGCCAAATCAAGGGGAACAAACTTAACTACATCTTCATGTGCTAACTGCATGATGTACTAATATTATATTCAGCATCTGAAATCTCATGAAAAAAATCTGCCCTCTAAATTAGAAAGCATATGAGAGACTATAACAATGTCTTCTATAAGATTTTCAGTTGGAACTGATCTGAGCATGAAACTTTTGCAAAATGTCCTTCCTTGAGCACAAAACTGCCATATCAAGCAAGAAATGGATTGTTTATTTGGGGGGTGGGGGGAGTGGAGAACTTTGATGTGTTTGCACTCAGAAATAGAGCTGCTCTGCACTTGAAACATTTCCAGGTTGCTTAATATGGCAGGTTTCCCACTTAAAACAGCAACAATTTGTCATCCAAAAAAGGACATTTCCCAAAGTTGCACTCTCAAAACAGTTCAGATCAAAACATTTTTGCAACTTCTTATTTTCTACTAACAAATTTTCTCTTCTGCAAGAAATCCCCCATGCCATAGAGATGTACATACCTCCTTCATCAGCCTACAAAGTTGATGACAACAAGATGTAGGATGGTACTAGCAAAGAGGAAGTCTGCAAAGGCCCGTTCTGGTGAGATTCCTTGAAATTCTCCCTTGTTTTGTGGGTTGATTTGAATCCTCAAGCAAACTAAAGAAAGAAGGGGGAAAAACACATTGTTGTAATGGATCACTGGAGGAAAAATACCAGAAGAGGATTGAATGAGAAATGGTCCAATTAAATACAATAACCTTAAATTAGCTTTAGCATTGCAAGAAAGATAGCTGATCTATTAAGGAGTTTATTATATCACAATACAAATTAAGTTACAACGTACTTAAAGTAGTTTCTTTGAGTCTTCCCATATTCTCATACTCCCAATTAAAATAACTCTAGTGAGATTCTCAAATACATCTCATCTGTTCACAGTAAATGAATTCTGTTTAACAATGGCTCATTTTGAGCTTGGAATTATCTACACTGATATTGTAGATCAGTGACATTTACACTGATTTCCAAAGAAAGCAGACAAGTAAGGGGTCTCATTAACACAGTGACACATCCTTTTTCACTGCCCAGTCTAAATCCACTTTCTGACATTCTGGGACAGGGAAGCAGCCACAAATCCATCAGTGTTATATCAGAATGAAGATCATTGATACTAAAGAACAATGCTGACTAGCCACTACAGCTAGCAACTACCTGTAAGAACACTGCTTCAAGCAGACGACTTGCGATACCAAATTTCTAATGGCTTTTCTTTTCCAAACTTTATTGCTATTTTGCCCTTGAAGCATTCCTTTTTGTATGATTTTGGAGAAAGGTATGAAAGGCAGACTCTAATATGTTTAAAGAAAGAAAACATCTGGAGAGAATAAAAAACTGCGAGATGCATGTGCTCCTCCTTGTACTTCTGTCTTTTGTTTTTCAAGAAAGGAGTTGGAGAGAATCCCCAATGGTATACTAGCGTAGACTAATACAACCTTCCTCAAGTTGTTAGTTTAATGTGTGGGACCGCAGCTCCCATAATTCAAATCCAGTATAACTAACGGCATTAGATTAGGGAAGCTGCCCTATCAGGTTTGATATATGCCCCCCCACCCCAAAAATGGCAAATGCTCTGAACATGCACATATAGTCACTGCCTGTTTATTATGTTATCTCATTTAGCAGGGTTGAGCCATGGCCAGTGAGAATAAGCTCCTTGCCTAAGTCCAAGGAGGCTCACCTCCAAATCACTGGAAAAAATTCCACAGCATTCTGGAGAACTCTCTTCACATTTGAGCTTCCCATTTTAAGGAAAATTTATAGAAACTAGAATAGATGCAGGGAAGGGCAACAGGGATGATGAAAGACTGAGGGAATTGAGTAGTTTTAAGAACAGGGGTCAGAGGAGAGGATATGATAGCACTTTTCAAGCAAGTGAAGAGCATCACACTAAAGGAAGATAAGATTTGTTCTTTATCGTTCTAAGTGGGAGTGAGCAATGTGTTTTGGATGTGAAACGCTTCCCCCTCAAACTGGGTAGTTCCAATTTACTGGAACTATTCTGACACTATTCAAACACTTCTGGAACTCTTTCATTCTCAAAACATCCTTCTCACACGAGGCAGGCTCATTCCAGAGGCCAAAACACTTTTGAAATGGCCGGAAGAGGACTAGAACCCCTCCAATAAGGTTGGAAGAGCTGTGGTTCCAAAACATGGCGTATCAGGTTGGAAACTTTTAGCAACCCCTAATTCGAAAGTGCAGAACGTTGAATAATTGTCCAATAATTGGAGTCACGTCACTACAACAGGCGTTCAAACCAATAACCCAGAGAGATGTAGTGGGATCTCTTTTAGCTGATGCCTCCAAGCAGAGGCTGGAAGGCCATCTGCCCGGGATACATGAATTTGGGTTCCCCCTCTGCAGAGGCTGCATCCAATTACCTCTTTGGGCCCTTCCAAGAAAACCGTGGAAAAACAGTGAGTGGGCCATGGAGACTGTGCCAGCTTTTCCAAATCTATCCTCTTCTAAATGGATTTGATCTCCAGGAACCTTCCAGCCAGCGTGAGCAGCTGTCTGGGAAATTGTGGGAACTCTTCCGCTGTCCGGCAGAGGGAATTCTGGGGATTGCAGTCCGAATGCCGAACGAGTTTCGAACTACCCATTGGGCAGGAAACGACTATTGCCATGGCAACCACAAAGCCCCTCTCCCTCCCTCATAGAGCCTTCTTCTGGAGGTTGCCACGGTGACTTAGAAACACCCGCCCCCAGTCCTTAGAGCCCCGCCAATGGGGGGGGGGAGTTCGTGGTTACTGTGGCAACGTCGAACCTTCAACCAGCTTCGCGAAGGCAACGGCGCTGAAAGGTTGCCACGGCGACAGTCGCGCTTGCGCAAATACACTGGCCCTCCCCGACGCAGTCAGAAAGTGCCTCACCGCCCAGGATGAAGCTACCCACGGCCGAGATGAAGCCCGAGAGGAAGGAGTTGAAGGGGAAGGTGCCGACGCCGAGGCAGTATCCGAACTGCAACGCCCCCGTCAGCATGACGTAGAGCAGATAGGCGTCCAGCACCTTCAGGCGGCTCGGTGTTCCGCTGCTGTACTCGGCCAGGAAGCGCCGCACCACGGAGCTCACCGAGCTCGCCCCGGAGCCGGACGACCCAGAAGCCGAACCCGACATAGCGACTGCGGACACGCTCTTTAGACTTCGCCTGCCGGAGTGGCCGGAAGAATTCAAAAGCTTCCGGAGTCACTTTGGGACCCGCGCATGCGTAGCAAGGATGTCGCGGCTCCACCAAAACCTTATTTAGTGTGGGCAGGCTGGCACGCATGCGTAGTGCGGCAACCTTTCGTCGGTGGCGCATGCGTAGGATAATCTGATAATCCTAGAGGGGGGGTGTTGGCCATGAGCTGCTTTCTGCGCGTGTGTGGTACAGTCAGCTTTGCGCGTGCGCACTTAGTTTTGTCCCGGGAGGGAAAATGAGTGTATATTCCCTGAGAAATTCCCCCAGGAGTTACAGTGCAACGATATAAGTATAAAAAGGACTAAGGGCACTCGGATTTGGTCTGCAAAGCTCCGCAGGACCACAAGCTGGCCGAGACTTGCAAGGTTTTGATGCGTTTGCTACCATCTAGTCGTCCGGCGTTTGCAGCCCAGACGTGTCATGCACCTATTAGTTTAGTCCTAGCCTCTTAAGCTCTCCGCTGGGTGGAAGTACCCCTCGTACTCTGCGTGTGCTCAGAAACAGTGCCATCGGGGCGGCGGGGAGGGAAGAAGAGGCCACCGTCCCCGCGGGAAAGCGTAAAGATCGAGCCCCGTCTGCAATCCAGAGCATGCAGAGTCCCGTTAAGGACCGGCCCTCCGCCAGGCGGGCGAGGCTCGCTATAGGAGCGCCTGTTGCTGGGCCAATCCCCGGCCCCGCCCGTCAGTCAAGCCGCCCAGGCTCCTCCCCTCTTTATGATGCTCTCCTCCTTTTCCTCGCGCCCTCCCCCCTCGTAGTTTTACTGCTCTCATTGCCCCCAGGCAGCGGAGGGAGCCCCAGGGAGGGCTACCGCGCTCTCTTTTGGAGTTTCCCTCCCGCCCCCGCCTTCCCCTCCATTCGGCCCAGAAGGAACGTTCCAAAACCGCCCCTTCCCCCACCCGCCCCATTCATAAAATGCAACCCCCGCCCTGCCCCTGCCATGTTCTGGCCACGCCCCCGTTCTGAACGACCCGCCTTCCCCCCCAGCTGTTGCGATGCGTTCCTTCTTGAGGAGCCATGGAGGAAGACCTTGAGCCGTCGTGAGTGCGGGCGAGGTTTCCGGGGCTTCCCTGGGGAGGGAAGGGGGAAGGAGGGGAGATGGGGGGGGTCTTCCCCAGAGGGGGAGGCGCTTGCAGCCTCTGGAAGGTCCCAGAATCGCCCATCGGAAGTAGGACCCAAAGGCCGGGGTGGTGGCAGGGGGGAGCAGAGAAAATAGGTGCTGCTTAGCCCCCGGGTTGTGCACTCTTGTGGTGGTTGGGGGCACGGGGTTAGGGTTATTAAGAGCACGGCTTGATTATTTTGCGATTGCCACTGTCACCATTTGGCCCAGCGTAGCTGTTTTTGTATTTTACATTTCCCCCCTCTGATGCCATCTAGGTAAGTTTGACTTGGCATCCTTCCTAGCTTGCATAGCTTGTGCTGGTTCTGGGTTGTTGTGGTTTATTCTGCTTGGCGGTTGACTCACAGTTCACAAAACCACCCCCAAAGCCATCCCAAACAGCTGAAAACCTCCCCAGTGTACATGAGTAAAAACAACCAATAGCTGAGCAAAGTTACAATATGAGGACAAATTATAATAATGGTGAAAAATGCAGAAAACAAATCTAAATAAAGGATCTTTCGGAGTAGGCGGCTAATTAGAGTCTCTTGGAGTTGGCGGCTGTAATACATCTAAATAATGATAATGAGGAGGATGATAATCATCATAATAACTGTTGTTATTATAGGTGTCAAACTCCCAGGTCCTTGTGAGTTGGGGAAGATTTGCTGGGAAGGTTTGAGACTTCATTTCATCCTAAAGAGGGTCAGGAATGGTTTGTTCGAAGAGCCCCCTTAACACCCTCCCCCCAATTTGCTTTCTCAGCGGTAATGCTGGGGGTTTAAGGTTTGTGGATTAAGCCTGGCTTTGTCAGTAAAAACAGGCTGGTAAGGAGAAAAGGCTGATTGAAATGCAGCCGGCCTTCTTGTCTGCTTCTGGCAAATGCCAAGAAGAGGCCTGTGCTGGGGATGGGCAAGGACAAAATAAAACTCCACAAAAGCGAGATCAGAGCCCAAGAAAGCTGCATGAGGGGAAGAAATTCTGCAGTTTTAAGGCAGAGAAGGGGGGGGGGGACAAAGGTTGGATATCGGCCCCAGGCTTCATAGATTCAGTAAATGGAATTAAGCTATAAATTGTTTCCTTTGCTAGGGCCCCTGTGATTCTTGGCATGGAGACAATGACTTTTCTTCACTGGTAAATAACCCCAAGATTCCTATAGCCCTGACTGGAATTCAGGAACAAATTGGCCAAACCCTCCTCCCAAGCCTTAGGCAAACCAGCTGGTGTTTGTAAAGCACAGGCCGGTTAATTTCTAAGGGAGAAAGGCAGGAAGCCCAACCCAAACTGGGGACAGATATAGCTCTTCTAATTTCAGTTTTTCAGCTGGGGAGTTGCCTTACTCAATGAAAGAGGGAAAATGCTCTATGTATGCTCAGAGGCCTTTGCATTTTGGTATTGGGTTAAATACAGTACTCCACAGTTAGACCCAAGGAGTTTTTGAGCTGGTTTGGAAGTGATCAGATATAGAGATCTGTGGGATGATCTTGATTATCTTGCAGGTAAAAGGGAGCTTTTATATTCAGGTGTAATAATAGTTCTGTGTTAGCAGGAAGGAGGAGAGTGGAATAAAGATCTAGAAATCATTAGGGAATGAGAGGGGGGGATTAAGGGTTGAATTTCTCTGTGTCTGCAGTTGGATCCCTGAAAAATGATTGTCTGTGTGTTTATATTGACTCTAAGTCCAAGGGTAAAGGACTCAGAAGTGATTCAGCAGACATTAGCGAATTAGTAATTCAACTTTCAGTTTGGCCCTGTCACAGATTTGTAACAGTATAGCCTGCCTGCCTGCCTGCCTGCCTGCCTCTTTCTTTCTTTCTTTCTTTCTTTCTTTCTTTCTTTCTTTCTTTCTTTCTTTCTTTCTTTCTTTCTTTCTTTCTTTCTTTCTTTC